GCTCTAGCCACTTTATACTGACGCTTGTTTGTTGTCCAGCCATTCTTAGAGACTGCGAGAACCCAATCCCTAGGCAGGCTGTCTTCCTTGTACCAGGCAGAGAGGTGGTGCTTGCCCTAAAAGATAATGAAGGGTGGGATCGCCTAGCCAGCTGCGCTAACACAAACCACGCTAGTAACCCACTCTTTGTTGCCCTGCTGCAGAGATTTTGGCTTTAATCGACGATTAGAGGCTGTGACTACTGCTAACGAGTTGTGTATGCCTATTATAAAGCCCGTCTCGTCAAAATTGTACATGTCGTTGTCCTGGATCCCATACTTGGCTTTGGTATTCTATACAAGGCGGAACCAGCCCTGCACAAGCTTAGGATCTTCACAGAGGGCTCTCTTGTAGTCGTACTTTCGATTAAACTTCATCTTAAGCTCTGGGCGACGCTTTATGAATGCTTTAGGCCAGTTAGGGCCAACAGGGTCGCGGTGGCGGGCAGCCAGCAAAGAATCAGCTAGATCTTTGACAGCAGAAAGGCGCAGCGGAAATCCTCTTGCATCAAGATTAAGAATATTCTTGACAATCACCTCCTCTTCTGTTATAAGTAGTTTCATTGAGTTGGGCGAACAATCTTGTCGAGAAGGCTTTCCTGCGAGTCTTCGTCTTAGGGTACGTTCAGGCACGTTGTAGAGAGCTGCAGCGCGTGGAATGTTAATTGTCGCGTCGCATTTAATAGCCTGAATTGCAAGCTGTACTTGAGACTCTTTTGAAGACTTTTTTGAATGAATTTGTTGAGACATCGCGAGTAGTAGTGAAAGTTGATGGGGGCTTGGCATTTTCGGTCACTCGCTATTCTCGGCCACTCGCTATACTTTGACGTTATTTCTTTTTCCATCTTATGCCCTGTTTTTAGTCATAGTCCTTATTTCTTCTACACTAAGGTAGGGCTGACCTTTTTTTTCGGTGCATTTTTGGGGGGGTTTTGTTTTGCATGCAAGGACTTCCGTATCAGGATGCGTCTACATACTCCTGCACACCCTCTTCCTCTGATACCCTCTTACCCTTTTACACATGGAAACTCACATATGTAGATACATATGCATGCGATAGGTTAGATACGCGAGTACGCTGTGATGCTTACTTTTCTTCGCTTATTCTCACTTTTCCTTCTTTGCTTTCTTTTCTTCCTTTTTTCTTCTTCTCCAGCTCTATACCTCCGCTCTTCAGGTCTATGCGTTCAGGCCGGGTCGTTCCCTCCCTTTAAAAAACAATGCATGTATATCTATGTAAAACAGGCTGCTACACTAACTAGATGTGTGCCTGTGTACCCTAAGTATATGCATGTGTACATGCCTGTTCTAGATATTTGATAAGCCAAATATCCTGCTTAGACACCAGACCATGGTGTGCATTACGTACGGGGCAAAAGTAAACCTGAGCTGAGTTGTGGTGTTGGCATTATTGATCCTATTGATACTACTATCGACTAGCAGTATTCACACTATTGGTACGACTGGGAAACACCACTAGTAACCACCGACTAGCACTAGCAGTATTGATACTACTGTTGATACTACTGTTGATACTACAGGGTGATAGCGCTGGTAACGGTGTACATGTCAAAATATAAAAACCAAAACTACAACTAAAATGTGCTTTTTCCTCTCTGCCTTGCATCTCACCTTTTTCCCCTCATTTTCTTGTCTTTTCTTCTTCTTCCGATTTGCCATTCTCGTATTGAATACGTCATACCATCTTCTACTATGCTCACTTCCAGAATTCAACATGTAAAGCATTACCAAGAAAAGTATATAATAGAGACAAGATGCATTGATAGTAGGAAATGGCTAGCACAGAGCATGATTATGCTACATAGGTATCAGGATAATCTTAGCAAGTACTGGATATAGCTCCAGTTTGATAAGTGTTTGATATGTGCCGGCGCTTTGTTAGAAGTGCAAGATATGCATTTTTACCGCATTTATGATAAAAAAAAATTCCTGTGCTTGCCTTGTTTGGCGGCATAAATCCGTGCTCAAGTCACTGATATAGGGGATTATGGGATGATTTGGCAGATGTCGAGTACAGAGATTGAGAAGGGAATGGCCTACTCGTGTACAAGGTATATTTCGACATGAGAAGAGAATGAGCATGGCTGATATTCAAGTGCATCTTCGAACACGACACTCAGTTTCCACAACACGTGACAGGGATAATTGATCCGGCAAAGCGATACCGATTACATATATGAATGCAGATTCTTCACTTATCAATTGCATAGGTTGGTAGCCCCAGATTTTGATATATAAAATTCTCCAGAGGATTCGGGCAGCTCGTATCGGTATCGAACGAGCAAGACAGTTCTTGTCCTGGACCACACAGATACAGAGCTGTCGCATGCCCAAACAGTTTCTGGAGCCACTCGCCATCTACAACACAGCAGTGACACTGACATGTTGATGTGGATTCTGATTCATCGTTCTGTGTGGTAAGGTATCTACAGTCCCACAGCAACGAAGGCCGAAGCAACCGGTACGCCGAAATGTGCACTCTTTCTTGTGTCTGCATGGCTTATGCGTGGTCGTCGTGGTGGCCCTTGTCCTGGAAGAAGAGCTGCTCGGCCACGAGGTAGCCGGCAAAGGCAACGGTGGCTATGCCGAGGCCGGGGAAGGAGCCCTTGAAGCGGTTGAAGCGGGTGAAGGGGCCCGTGTATCGCCATTGCTCACTGGCGGGCGTAAGTACATGGCGGGACGTATACATGTATGTATATATATATATATATACATATAAATTCGGCGGTCAAGACGTACTAGCGCGCCCATGGGTCGCCCTTTGTGCCGTTGGCAGAGGCGGCGGCGAACTTCTTGGGGTCAAAGCCGGTGATGGAGGGGCGTGGAGCCATTGTGAGGAGGCTGGTCGGGTCAGAGCCTGGCGGGGAGCAGAGTGCCAATTGGGGCGGCGGGGAGCAGGCGAACGTACTGGATGGGCCTCGTGAGATGGTCGAGGAGGGCAGGGCGGTCGCGGAAGCTGTTGGCGTCACGTCCCCAGGTGCTCGTCAGTCGTCGTCGCATGTCGCCGTGTCTTGGCGGCGATCATGGCGCACGGCCTGCATTGCATCGCCAACCACCGTCGCCCTCCCCACCCGATGCATTCACCTCGCCCACCACCCGCCCACGCCACCGCCCATTCTTACCACCGCTTTCGGCATCTTCGCGCAGCTCCTACTACCGCAGCACGCCCCCGCGAATCAGCCCCGGCATCGCCTGCAGCGCCCCTCGTTCGCGCCCTTGTCGACACATAACCACATCTCGCACCCGACCAGCGTGCCATCGCAGCAACAGCTACACCTGGCCCAGCATGCCGCCTCACGGGGGCCGCTTTCCCGGCCACAACCTGTCCAACCCATTCGCACATCTCTCGGGCCCCATGCCCCAGCAGCAGCAACAGCCATTGCACCAACACCAGCACCAGCAACAGCAGCAACAGAACATGCACCCCGGCTTCGGCGGCGGCAACCAGGCCAACAGCCTCAACCTCTTCGGCCAGCACCAGGGCGGCTTCCAGTCGAGCGCGGCGCTAGGCGGCGGCCTGGGAGGAGCCGGCCTGGGAGCAGCAGCAGCCATTGGCGGGGCAGGCGGCGGAACTGGCCTCGACGGACACGAGGCGCGCATGCGGTTTGCCCATGGCGCGCAAATACAGGAGAATGCGGCCCGCGGACACGATGGCGCCAAAGGCATTGTAGGCCAGCGCATACGCGAGGTCTGGCGGTCCAACCTGCACCAGGAGATGGACATGCTGCGCTCGCTCATCGACCAATACCCGTACATCAGTATGGTCAGTCTACCGTTTTCCTAGCCCGACTGCTCGTGCCAGAGCGCCGCGTCTGATATGCACAAGACTTGTATCAACGCCGGCTCCGTGTCTTCTTTTCCCGGGGTAGTCTCCAATCTACCCCTCCTCACGCTCACTGTCAAGTGCACTGCTCACTCTACAACTAGGACACCGAATTCCCCGGCGTTGTCGCGCGACCCATCGGAGACTTCAACTCAAAAGCTTCGTACCACTACCAAACCGTTCGCTGCAATGTCGACCTGTTGAAGATCATCCAGCTCGGCGTCACCCTCTTCAACGTCCAGGGCGAAGTCCCCCCAACACACCTCGATACCACAAACCTGAACTACAAGCCAAAGTCTCTGCAAAGATATGCCAACAATATTGTCGCCTGTCCCTGCACATGGTCCTTCAACTTCCAGTTCTCGCTCGAAGACGACATGTACAACGAAGAGTCGATCCAGATGCTGAAGAAGTCGGGAGCCGACTTTGAAAAACACCGGGATCAGGGCATCGACCCGCAAGAGTTTGGATCACTGCTTACAACGTCGGGCATGACCTTGTCCGAGGACGTCAACTGGATATCCTTTCACTCGGGCTATGACTTTGCATACATGCTGAAGATGCTGACGTCAAAACCGCTTCCCGAGGACGAGGACACGTACCGCAAGCTCGTCAACGTCTTCTTCCCTAGGCTGCTCGATGTAAAGTACCTCTGGAGACACGCAAACAACCTCGTTAGGCGCGGCGTCATTGGCTCGACAGCGACCAACATACTCAACAATCTAGGCACAAAGTCTGGACTCCAAGACCTCGCCGATGAGCTCGGCTGCCAGCGCATCGGCAACTCACACACGGCCGGCTCGGACGCATGGCTGACAGGCGTTGTTTTCTGGGAAATGAAGAAGAAGATCTTCGACGGCGCCGTTCCCGAGGAAATGAGTGGCCACATGTGGGGTCTTACGGGCGTCGGAGCGCCAGCAAGCGCCGCCGCCCAAGCTGCCGTGCTGGCCGCACAGGGAGCATCACAGGGTCTGAGCGGATTCCAGCAAGGCGTCAACAACACGTTTTACCCCGGAAACGCACGACACGGCGTCGACGGGCCCAGCACGCCGACCAACCACCCAGCCAGGCTTGCGTCCAACACGCCCGGACCGACGGGCATGATGACGCCTGGAGCCTACAACGGATATGGCAACAAGTAGCATCGTGGCCAGCGTGGTAGGGGCTGGTGGTACTCTGGCCGTGGCGGATAGGGCCGTCCTTTTCGGCGCGGGTGGCACGGCAACATGTAGGCACACGGATTGTGTTTTTGTTGCATGATTGCATGCATGGTATAGCAGCTTGTCGGGCGTTGGCTGGGCACATTACAATGTGGTAGCCTTGTATGTTAGTAAATGCTTCTCCTTGGGAGTCAGTCATGTTGGTAACTCTGGCCCAGCTGTTCAAGAACCTGTTCCCAGCCAGCCCGGAGCTAGAGGGCCGACAAGTCCTCACCCTGCACAACCAGCGCGACTACATCTTCGTCCGCCGCCACCGCTACGTCTTCCGCGACAAGCGCGAGACGGAGAAGCCGATTCTGGGCGCGGATGGTAAACCCATTCCAGGTGCCGAAGACGTCAAGGTTGGAATGCAGGAGATTGGGTATGTTTTTTTTCTTCTTCTTCGTGTATAAATGATTATACCACAAAGTAACTTGCACTAACATGTCCCATAATAGCCCTAGAATGACGCTCAAGCTCCGCAGAATAGACCGCGGCATCCAGTTCAAGAGCGGCCAGGAATGGCAGTGGAAAGGCCGCATGGACAAGCAGAGGACAAGGTTCAACATGTAGAACGAGACATTCTCTTCTGGCCTACTCATTTGGTTATTTATATTCCCTGTTCTTGGTCCATTTTCTTCGACTACGCACGTCTTATTTCATCGGGACATCTCTCTACCTGACTATTATCTCATGCATCACCATCACCATGACATTATCACACGCCAATCGCCATGCTGTTCATGCAGAGTGGTGGAAGGGGCGAAAAGAAAAGACTCTAGACCGTGGTGTTGTCTCTTCATCATGTCTTGACATTTCTCCTTTCTTTTCTCTCAATCTTCCTTTACTCACTACACTTGGATCCCATACACACGCGTCCAAAAAAGAGGAAGAAGAAGAAGAAGAACCGGATTTCCAAAAGCTAAAAGCACAGGGATAATGTAATGACGCCCCCTTTGTCACAAAGACAGGTATGCATATAACAGACAGACAGAAAGACAAGCAAGCAAGCAAACGAAAAAAAAAGAGAAAAAAAAAGACTTTGGAAAATATTGAAAACAGTTAGAATGAAAAAAAAGACTCCAATGTACACAATACTACCCGGGTATCGTACATGCACCCTCCCTTCGACCTTTTTTTTTCTTCAACTTCTTCATCTTCTTCTTCTTCCTCGTCGGCCTTTTTTGGTTCCCACTCAAGCGGTCAGGATACCGAGCGGGGTTTTGAACTGGTTGAGGATGAGCTCCGGGTAGTGGCCCGTGTCGTTTGCATGGCGGGGCAGCTTTTTGCCTTCGATCCAGTTGGAGACGCTAAAGTGGAAGTGCGGGCCGTGGGGGAGCGTGACAATGTCGAGGCCGTCGGGCTTCTTTTCGTGCTGGGCCTGCATGAGGATGACGAGGGCCGTGTAGCCTCTTGCGCTGGCGAAGCTGGCGATTTCGCGGACGCTATACTTGTGTGCGTGGGCGTGCTTGGTGCGGCGGATGTAGGTGCTGTTGGGGAAGAGCGAGGTGAGGATCTCGGCTTCTTTGTGGAGCGACGAGTTGATGCTCGTGGTGATGAGGATCTGGGGGTCTTGGGCGGGCGGGTTGAAGATGGCGGGGAACTTTTGCTTGAGGAACTCGGGAGACAGGTCCAGGTTGGTGGTGGTGGACGTGGCGCTGGGGCTCGGGGCGCGCTTGGTCGGCCTGGAGGAGGCGGCGTCGTCTGAAGAGTCCATGTCGGAGTCGTCCGAGTCGGCTTCTGACTGCGAGTCGTCGAGCATGCTGTCTGCCTCGTCCGAGTCGTCGCCAGCATCGCTGTCGGCGTCTTGCACGGCTTGGTCGCGCTTCTTCAGCTTGGCCAGCGTGCCTTCTTCTTCTTCTTCTTCTTCTCCGCCTTGGGCTCCCTCGTCCTGCTCGAGCTTTCTCCGCTTGGCCAGGCGCTCGACGTCAATGGCCCAGCCCAGCGCATCCTCGTCGTCGCCCACGGGCTCGTCCCACACGCGCTTGCTGTCAATGGTGGCGGGCTTGTTGTTTTCCAGGCGCTCCTGGCGCAGCTCTGGGTTCTTGTCCTCGTCCCGCTTGCGGCGCATGCGCACGTCTCGCTTTTCGGATTCGCGCGCCTTCTTGATGGCCAGATGGGCGGCCTGTCGGCGCATCTTGTTCTTGGGCTTGAAGCCCGAGGCGGTGTTTTTGGGGGCGGCCATGTCGTGCTTGTTTCAATCGGGTGGTGGACGGGCTCGGGGGTCCGCTGGTGGTGAAGGGCTCAACTTTTCAGTGGGGCGGTGCGGGTGCTTCTTTTGGCCGCAGTCTTGGCGCGTCACAAAATGCGATTGGTATTATATTGTCCTTTGCAGCAGCAGCAGCAGAAGCAGCAGCTCCACGCGGCGAACCCCCCAGAGACGTGCAGCCTCCCTGCACGTGTATAATCCCCGTGGTATTTGCTCGTCGCCTGGAAATTGACGCAGGCCAGCTCCCGATATATGCGCGGGCTCCAGGCTCTGGTGCGCGCCCCTCAATTAGCATCGCGGCCTGCTGCTGCTCTCCGGAGACGCTTCCAGTGTGCCCCACCTCCGACGCCGACTCATCCCACCAAGCACTTCTCGACCTCGCCTCGCCTCGCCCGGTACAAGAAACCACAGCGCAAGACGCCCGCCATGCCGAGCGACACGACCACGTACAAGGGCAAGCCCTTTGAGCGTGCTGCCTTTGAGCAGCTCATGAAGGTATGCCCCACCGTCGGCCTGCTCCGCACTCCCTCATGCACCCATGCCAACACACGCCGTGCAGCACAAGTACTTCTATGCGCCCTCGTTCGACATCTACGGCGGCGTCGCTGGCCTCTATGACTACGGCCCGCCCGGCTCTGCCCTCACCGACAACATTGTCGACATCTGGCGGGAGCACTTTGTGCTCGAGGAGGATATGCTCAAGGTCGAGCCCACCATCCTCACCACGCACGATGTGCTCAAGACGTCGGGCCACGTGGACAAGTTTGCCGACTGGATGTGCAAGGACCCCAAGACGGGCGAGATCTTCCGCGCCGACCACTTGGTCGAGGAGGTGCTCGAGGCCCGGCTGAAGGGCGACAAGGAGGCGCGCGGCCAAAAGGTCGAGGCCGAGGAGGAGGACCCCAAGAAGAAGAAGAAAAAGGTCAAGAACATTGCCGCCGTCAAGCTCGACGACTCGATGGTCAAGGAGATTGAGGAGGTCCTGGCCAAGATCGACAACTACGACGGTGAGGAGCTGGGCCTGCTGATGAAGAAGTACGACATCAAGAACCCGGCCACCAATGGCGACCTCCAGCCCCCGGTTGCCTTCAACCTCATGTTCCAGACGTCCATCGGCCCCTCGTCGAACCTGCCCGCCTACCTGCGACCCGAGACGGCCCAGGGCCAGTTTGTCAACTTCCAGAAGCTGCTGGACCACAACATGCAGCAGATGCCGTTTGCGTCTGCGTCGATTGGCAAGTCGTTCCGCAACGAAATCTCGCCTCGCCAGGGCCTGCTGCGTGTGCGCGAGTTCCTCATGGCCGAGATTGAGCATTTTGTCGACCCAGAGGGCGGCAAGAAGCACCCACGGTTCCACGAGGTCAAGGACGTGGAGCTCGAGCTGCTCAACCGGGACGTGCAGCTCTCTGGCAAGACGACGGTCGAGACGACCAAGATTGGCACGGCCGTCGAGACGGGCCTGGTGGACAACGAGACGCTCGGCTACTTCCTTGCCCGCATCCAGCTGTTCCTCCTCAAGATTGGTGTGGATCCCAAGAAGATCCGGTTCAGGCAGCACATGGCCAACGAGATGGCGCACTACGCGGCCGACTGCTGGGATGCCGAGCTGCTCACATCGTACGGGTGGATCGAGTGTGTTGGCTGTGCCGACCGGAGCGCATACGACCTTTCGGTGCACATGAAGAAGACGGGCGCGCCTCTGATTGTGCGTGAGACGAGAAAGGAGCCGCTCAAGGTGGAGGAGTGGCAGTGCGACATTGACAAGAAGAAGTTTGGGCCCAAGTTCAAGAAGAACGGCAAGACGGTCAAAGCGGCCATTGAGGCGCTGACACAAGACATGCGCGAGAAGCTGTCGCTAGACCTGGAGAAGGAGGGCAAGATTGTCATTGACGTGCCTGACGTGGGCGATGGCAAGGTCGAGGTGCCCAAGGAGCTCATCACAATCGAGAAGCGCACGCGGGTGGAGACGATGCGGGAATACACACCCAACGTGATTGAGCCGTCGTTTGGCATTGGGCGCATCTTCTATGTGAGTGTGGTGTTGTTGGGCGTAGGACATGGGTACTAATCAAGGCCAGGCGCTGTGCGAGCACGTCTACTGGACTCGCGAGCAGGACGACGCACGTGCTGTGCTCTCGTTCCCACCGGCGGTTGCGCCAACCAAGGTGCTGATTGTGCCGCTCAGCTCCAACCCCGACTTTGAGCCTTTTATCAAGAAGGTCAAGGACGAGCTGCGGAAGCTGGGCATCTCGAACCGCGTCGACGCTTCGGGAGCGTCGATTGGCAAGCGCTATGCAGTAAGTGTGACTCGTGGCAGTTTGTGGCGATGATTTGTGCTCTAACACGACGCAGCGAAACGACGAGGTGGGCACGCCGCTGGGCGTGACGGTCGACTTCCAATCCATCAAGGACAAGACGTTTACGCTCCGCGACCGCGACACGACGGAGCAAGTGCGGTCGAGCCTCGGGGACATTGCGCAGGCCATTTCCAACATTGTCAAGGGCGAGGAGCAGTGGTCGGATGTGGCCAAGCGGCTGCCCAAGTTTGAGGGCCAAGAAGTCGACTGAGGGGTGTGGCGAAGAGGCGTGGAGTCGGAGGAGGAGGAGGAGGAGGAGGAGACAGGGTAGTGTGTGTATGTACTAGACATGACGTGATGTGTATGTGTATGTACAATAAAATGGCGGCGCCGCAGCCGTGGTGGACCTTTTCCCCATGCCCCCTTCACACCCCCTCCCCCCTCCCCCCTCCCCCCTCTTGGGCCCAGGCAATTGTTTCTCCCACGGTGATTACACAGCCGGATGCATGCACGGCATGTGTGTTTATGCGTGGCACGCGCCAACGAGGCCGTGACAGGCGGGTTTCCGCGGGCCCGGGTGGGTTGACACAGGCATGTCTGGATGGGCGGAGTCGAGTCGAGTCGAGTCGGCGGCGTGCAGCTTGCGCCGTGTATGAGTCGAGCGTGGCGGGAGGCAAAGGGCATGTCCTTACTTAGTGTACTGCTGCTACCACTGCCGTGGTTGTCTGTACAGCCTCTTCTTCCGACAGTCTGGGTCGCTCTGGCTCCGAGGGCCTGGCACTCGTCGTTCTTCCGCGCCACCGAAGACGGACCGCGCCAGAGCCAGCCTTGGTGGCATACTGTAAGTGTAAGTGTAAGTGCAACCCAGTCCTGGCCTCTCCACTGCAGCCGATACGAGGCCTCGCAACCGCAACCTCGCCGTGGAGCCCCTTTCCCCGCTGCCCGCCCGCCCGCCCGTCTGTCTGTCTCGTCGCACACAGCCTGCTGCTCGGCCCACGGCGCTCCGCTTGTCATGGGCCGTCGTCAGCATGCACGTCGCCCGTGGCCTTGTCGCAAAGAGGCGCCGCCCTTGATTGACATGGGGCCTGGCCGTCCCCACCGTCCATCCCCTTCACCCAGCTGCTGGCCATAGTACCGTCTGCACGCTCCGTTATACCCAGCCCTGGATGCCCGGCCCCCCCCCCCCCAGCATCAAGCGGCGGTCGCTTAGCATGCGCAGCCTCCAGCAGCCTCCATCGCCAGCCGTTGCGAGGAATACATTTGCAGCGCCCTCGCCCTCGCCCTCGCCCTCGCCCTCGCCCCCGGCCTGAAGTGCCTATCGCGACCTGTTCGGCGGCTTTCCGAGACCATGGACGAGGGACCGCCACCACCCGAAGACGTGGTTGCCCCTCACACAGCCGCTCCACTCAAACGCCCGCGAGCTGACTCAGATGGCTCAGCAGCCTCCCTCGAGTCCATGTAGGCCGCAGTCTCTCTCTCTTGCTGTCGCATCGCCCACCCTCAACTGACAATCATTCCTCTCCGCAGTCGCTCGGTTCGCACGCTTGCCCCTGGAGACTTGGAATACTACCATGAAAATGGCCGAACCTACTGCAACGAGACCTACTATCTGCCCTGCGTCTACAAGCCCAACAACGACTTCGTAGAGCAGGATCGCCTGTCCCTGCAGCATGAAATCTTTGTTCGCGCGCTAAAAGGCAAGCTGACCACTACGCGCTTGCTGCCCTCGACGCGCAGGATTCTCGATCTCGGCACCGGTCCAGGCCACTGGGCCGTTGCCATGGCACAGCAGTATCCTCGCGCAGAGCTTGTCGGCATAGACATGACCGAGTGGGACATTGAAACCACCGAGGCCACGCTAGGAGAATCCGGCGTCACCTGGGAGCTGGACGACATGGATGTCTGGGGGAGAGACATTGACGTCGACGACCTAATCACAAAACTTGCCAATATCGACTTGGCCGCCAACATGATCCACCGGGATCCCATTGAATCCCCCAAGAAGGCGCATCCAGAAGCAAGACCAAGCAACAATGCGGCAAGCCCATCGAATCTATCAGACGACTCACTGACAATCGACCTGACGACGCCGACCCCGCAGCCCGAGCCAGGCTGGCACTTCAGCGACACGTTTGAGCTGATCCACCTACGCAACATGAAGGGAACATTTACCCACTGGGAAGGCGTCTATGCCGAGATCTACAAGTCGCTCTCTCCCGGCGGCTGGATCGAGGTCGCAGACTGGGACCTAGGCCAAGTCCCCATGGGGCCTGGAGAAGCTTCGCCGGAAAATATTGCCATGCCCACTCTCCGCAGGCTCTACGTCGCCTTCATGGAAGCCTCGTTCCGCTCCGGCAGACCCCTGGGCCTCTTCTACATGCACCACAGCTATCTCGAAGAAGCCGGCTTTGAGGACATTCAAACTACCCACGTCAACGTCCCTGTTGGCCAGTGGGCCGAGGACGAAGACCAAAAGTCGCTGGGCAAGATGATGTTTGTGCTCGGCATGGAGATGTTTGAGCCCGTTTGTCTACGCCTGCTTACCCAATGGGGGAGTAAGAGTCGTGTGTGGACGGCCGACGAGGTCAAAGCCGATGTGCAGTTGGCCCAGAGAGAAATCAAAGAATATGTCCAACGCTCGGAACGAGGCGAAGTCGAGGGCTGGTGCGCCAGTTTCAAATGGGTTACCGCTAGGAAAAGTTGGCATGCTGACTAGGACATGGTTGGTTGGGTGAGTAGGTTGGGGGGGGGGGGTTAAGGAAAAACGGGAGGGCTTTTTGGAATTTTCTCAGTTGCATCAGGGTCAGAGCGGATGACTGGCTGACTGGCGGTATGTGTGATCAATTTGGGGGTTTGCTACATAATGAGTAGGACGGAGCAATTGTTACATCAGCTTTCCATGTATGTACAGTGGTTGTTGTCATAGGGATGGAGCGGATCAAGGATTGGATAGGAGCTACTGGATATCCCGTGTTTTGGCGTCTGCGAGTGGCTGGGGTCATAGGCGAGCGGATGTGAGTGTGCTTGTGACGAGCGACTTGTCAGATATCTCAGTTACTTTGGGTGGCTGATAGTGTAGCGTCTTCACAGCATGTCATGCGGTGTTTCCGTGAATAAGCATCTTGCACTTGTTCAACCAGCACATGCATGCCCACTGGCACTGGCGCTGGCGTCGTTGCCGGTGACGCCATCCCTACGCGCTACGCGACGGCAGCGGCCCGTGCCATGCCTGCCGCTTGCGGAGTCGAGGCCAAACCTCCGACAAAGGCCAGAACTACTTATGCCCACTGTAAAGTCTCGAGTCTCTACCACACGATGCACGCGCGCTGAGACGCCATCATTCGACAATGCCTGCACAATCACACAGGATCAACTCCAACGAGCTGCTCCACGCGCCGGGCTTTCTCGGCGCAGCAGCGCGCTTCTGGCAAGTAGGTGGTCGCTGACATTGCTGGCCTTTGCTGGGCCTGTGTTCCACGCAACAACTAATGGCGCCGCTTTGGTTACAACAGCGCTCGTATGCTTCCGACTACCTTGGCCTAGCGATTCTGATATGCGGATACATCTTGGTACGTATCAAGAACGCGGCACCTGCCATCAGTCTGGTGAGGCTCACAAGCCAGGCACAGATACAATTCCTCGCCCAACCCTTCCACCGCATGTTTTTCCTCGACAACCTGGCGATTGGGTACCCGCATGCCGAAATCGAGCGCGTATCTGTCTTTTGGCTTTTCATATATGCGGGCCTTGTCCCCCTCGCTATGCTCATCACATGGGCGCTTGTCGTTCGTCCGGGGACGCACAAGGCGCACGTTACAATACTTGGCTTCATGATCAGCATGATTCTCACCAGCTTCATCACCGATGTGATCAAGAATGCCGTTGGGCGCCCCCGCCCAGATCTCATTGCGCGATGCAAGCCTGCGCCCGGCACGCCCGCCCATCAGCTCGTCACATTCGAGGTCTGCACCGAGACAAACCACCATGTTCTGCACGACGGCTGGCGTAGCTTTCCTAGCGGTCATAGCAGCTTCGCCTTTAGCGGTCTCGGATATCTCGCCCTCTTCATCGCTGGCCAATGCCACGTCTACCGCCCCCGCGCAGACCTCGCGCGCGTCCTCGTGGCACTCGCACCCTTGCTCGGCGCCGCGCTCATCGCCATTTCTCGCTGCGAAGACTACAGACATGACGTATACGATGTGACTGTGGGCTCGGTGCTCGGCATGGCAGTTGCGCATTACACTTACAGACGCTATTATCCTGCGCTAAGGCACCGGCATTGCGCAACACCTTTCCCCAATCCAGCGGATGATAAGAACTGGGGGAAGATGAAAGCGGACGAAGAGGCAGCCAGAGGCACTCAGGAGTTTGAATTGAGTGAGTTTGACGAGGACGAGGTTGAGAGCGAGGTCAAGCCACTGAATGGAGGGAGGCGATAGCGTGACATGTTGGCATTGCTATCCTCAATTCCTATATGACTTTATGTTGCAGTATATAGTCTCTAGTTGAAGAGATTGCAATTGATAACTTTTTTCCTCTTCGGCATTTTGCTGTACATGACATTTAGCCTCTGGGGTTTTTGACAAAAGATATAGTGAGTAGAACATGTGCTCCAATATTGCTTTTGGGCATCTTGCAACCAAGTCCAAAGCTAAACAAGGGAGTTACACAACGCAGTGCAGGACAAGTGAAATCATCATACCCTGCATCTGGTGGACGAATGGAAGGCTTGGCTGTAAGAAGTAGGTGCAGTCCAAGCTTCTGATGATGCACTGCTGAATGATTGGTGTGGGCCTGAAGCTCTGTCACCTGCCAGCGGTGCCATCTACATCCATCTTGGTCCATTTCACTTTTTGCTCATTCTTACTGCTCATGAAATACCCTACGTCCTCTCAGTACTCCCTTCTTAGCACATCCACGATTCTGTGTGCTGCGAGAAATCTCGGAGAGAACGGCTGGTCACATGGACCACCCTTCGGATATCGTTCAGTAACGTAAAACAGCTTGGTGGGTTCCAGAATATTGAAATTCGTGTCTGATTCGTACTTGTGACACAGCAGGTGTTTCAGCACTGAGCGCATGCCCTCGACACTTTTGAGCTGCTTCTCGATGCCCTGCTCCAAGCATAGTGGACGTTGGCGGGCAAACTCCAACACCAAACCCGCAACGCCTGCTAAAATAGGCGTTGCACAAGAAGTCCCCGTCAGTCGCTTGCGCCCTGTTTGGGGATCGTCTGAAGGAAGAGCTGCGGGCCAAGTAGACCCCACTGCCTGACCAAGAGCTGTAAGCCGATCGCTCTTCTTTTCGTTTGCGGCCCGGGGATTGGTTTCCAGTGGGCGACCGTAGACACTGGCCGCATCGACAGCAATGACTTCTGGAGCACGTGCCGGGAATGCCATCTTGCTGTGCACGCCTTCGTTTGAGCTTGCTGCAAAGATAAGTACGTCGGAAGCTCGTGCATGCCGGACCGCTTGTCGTAGCCCATCATGGCTATCATTCTCCCAACCCAGGCTCATACTAATAATGTCAACCTTCCTCCTGTCGACCGCATCCAGGATCGCATTCGCAACCATATTCTTGTCAATATAACTGCTGTCTTGGCAAACTCGATACACGTAAACGTCTGTGTACGGGCAGACAGTGAGAATCAGCCCAACTGCGTGGGTCCCATGTCCATTGCTGTCAGCATTCCAAGGCAAAGATGGGTCCAGAGCTTTCCCCAGCTTGACTCTCGAGCTCTTCAGTATCGGCGACACGAAACCGCTGGCGGAGCTCCTGGCTACGCCCGTATCCAGAACGGCAATTTTTACGCGTCGTTTCGTTTTGTCCACGTCGTAGCAGTCGTCTTTGTACTCTTCTAGAATTCTGTGAGCATTATTACGCAGTTCTGTGAACCAGTTATCTGCCCGGATCTCACTGCGTGTCGTCAGCTAAAGCGCATCAAAGGCCCGGTAAAGCCGTAGACTTACACTGCAGAGCTCAGGTCTTTGGCAAAGGAAGCTCTCTGTGCAGGTACTAACGATCGCGGCACATCAACCGATGCTGCCCGTCTATGTCCCTCTTCGTTCGATTGCGAGATCCTCAAGCCGCCTTGGCTGAGCGTATCGTTGGAGCGGGCTTTTCTTGTAGTCTTATTGGAATCTGGCTCATCCAAGTCTCGATACGAACCTCCAGGAATACCAAGGTCTGTTTGGCCGGAACGGCGGGCTTTCGTGTTGACAGCAGAAACAGGTCCTTTTGGTGCCGCCGTCTCAACTGCTGTGCTCTTTTCGGGGTTCGTCACCGACATCGTATAGTCAAATTGCCGTTGTTCTTGCCCTTGCGTGGGCTCTGAGGGCTGCAGCTTGACGCCCGAATTACTTGGAAGTGTTGCTTTGGCGTTCTTGGGGGCTTCAACCGGACGGGGTTGTCCTTGAATTTCAACTCCAGATGCCATGGGCATCGTTTTGGAAGCCTTTGGCGCCTCACCGACGCTTCTGGACGACTCGCCAGACGTGTTGTTCTTTCTCTCTGGTGGTTCGCCACTATATTTTCTGGACGACTGCTGAGATCGATGCTCTCCTGCATCATTTTTCTTGCTCGCACTCTCTGCCACACTTGCTATGCGCTTCGAGATACCCTCCGAATCATTCGCCGCTTTCGATGACGGCATCAATGCCTGTGCTACATCTTTCGCTCTCGACGTCAAATCTCTCTTTTCCGCGGTAGCCAAAAACGATGACCCCGTGGGGTAATTCGCTTGCGAGCTCTTTGGTCGTTCCTTTTCCTTGATAGCCTGTCTATCACTTTCAGCCCCGACATGGCTCATACTCCGCGGCTTGTTGCGATGCATTGGCGCCGATAGCAGTATAGAAGGGACTGGCTGGCTTTGCTGAGACCTCTCCGCACTTTGGACCGCGCAGTCCCGATTACGCATCAAAATGTGCTGGTCCTGCTTCGACTGGTACCCGCATACTGGTCGTCCTGGGTTGTTTGGCTCTTGGGAACTTGCACTCCCATTTCTCGTCTTTATTTCCGTCTTTCTGTCTGATTCTTGTCTAGTCTCTCCTTGTCTCTGCGGGGACAAGACGGACCGCCCTTCCGCAGGCTTTGTTGTCGCTCCTTGACCCGCCGTATCCTGCGATGCTTTTCCGTGGCTTGAAGATGAGGGTGACGAATTTTGTTGCGTCTTAGGCTTTGACTCGGCTGCCCAGGTTGTGGAGCCTGCTAAAATGTGACTGCGGGTTGTGCCGTGATCGCTTCTCCCGGTTTGACTCCGTGTTGAATTCGATCTATGCACTGTTTTCTCGGGGGCTTCAGGCGCGTGATGAGGATTAAGCGTGGCAGAAGCTGAGCGTGGACGAGCCGGCACATGTCGTCTCATCTCTTTCCATGCATGAGCGTTTGTATCCGGGATCCATTCTACCGTTGATTTCCTTCTTGTATCCGAGCCTTCTTGGTTCGCTGCCCCATGTAAGTTTCTTGGACCTGATACATCTTTTACACTGTGCTTCACTGGCATATCGGAAGAATCTGCTTGATTCGTATGACTGGGTGTTTCCTTGCTCTGCTCTGCTCGGGAACCCGACTGCATGTTTGTAGTTCGGTTATGTTCATCTTTCTTCTCTGCTGGCTGAGCTAACTTTTCTTTTGAGCGATTTTGATCATGCGTATTCTCTGCTCGAGATGCAGTCGCGTGCGTCTCATTTTCATTCTGTGAAATAGACCCTCTTACGACGAGTTGCTTTCCCTTGTCGCTCATAGCCTCTTCCGTCCGCCTGTTCTTCTGCTCAATACGCAATCTCGCCTTCTCTTCTATCCGAGCAATTGCATTTCTGCAATTGTCCTGCGATTTTTTGGTACCCGTCAGGTAATAGTCATACTTGGGCGACAACCTGGCCATGCAGTCCGGTGCCTCCAATATCTGCAGCAGCTCAGCATATCGTGCAGATGCTTCACTGTATCTTCCCAGCGAATACAGGTCTTTTGCGAGATTGAACCTGATATTCACAGTCTCTACATTGCTCCTTCCGAGCTTTTGGTCTGCGCCCCGTAGCATGAGGGTGTTCAGTTGTGCTGCCCGCATAATGTTGCCGTCCAAGTTCGACTTGTACAGGGCGGACGTTAAATCCGCGCCGTCTTCGTAGAGCTCTTGATCAGATCGCGTTACTTTTGAGTTCAGGATATCTTCATACAACTTGATGGCCTCGGGAAATTTTTCGGCTTGGACGTAGGTTTCCGCCAGCTGCCGTTGGGCGTCCAGGTGTCGCTTTTGTGCCGTGACAAGCTCGTCTTCGGGTACATTCAGGCGCTGACATTGCTGCAGATTCTCCAATGTTCTCTCGACATTCTGCAGATGGCAGCTTGTGGCTTGGGCAAGCGTGCCAGCGTTCCTCACGCTGTAGGCCCATTTTTCCAGTAAGTTGAGTGTTTCTTCATGTAGACGTCCGTAATGTTGTTCAGCTAATTTAGTTGCTTCTTCATATGCTTTTGCTGCACCCTCGCCAGCCTTCTTGTCACCATTGTTTGCTCTTCTTTCGAGCTCCTCGGCTTGGGTGTTAAGCGCAAGGATCCGGCCAGTCATGCTCATATCGCGACTCGAAAGAATCGAGTACCGAGACGCCTCTCAGCCTCCTTTTGATTATAAATCGGAAAATGGTCAGTGGAACAAGGCTAAGTCTTCCCCGCTGCTCTCAACGGTCCCCCCAAACTCAAGACCTCTTCTTTTCTCAGTCAGTAATCCCCCTTTAAACAACTTGCAAGATGATGATGGCCGCGAACTCTGGCGACATTTTATTGCGAAGAGACGAAGCCATGTATTTCAGCTGACCGAGTGACTGTGACCAGGCAGCCATGAGGGTGGGGGGCTGATAACCGCTCGCCTGCATGGTTTATGCCCCATGGGGCAAGCGAGTATGCAACTGTTCAGCGCGTAATACCGGATCAATTCCCAAAACCAACACAGCCCAGCCCCGGTATTGAGAGGCTCCAGCCTTCGCGTTGATAGCCTGATGCTCGCGCATTTGCTGAGACAAAGTGAGCCGTGTGGCTTCAACTCTCACTGCCGTACTAACGACATCCTCCACATGCCTGTACTTCCAGTTGCGCGCCAGAAACAACCATGGATGACGAACCAGCCGTCTGTTACGTCAAGAGTGAAGCCCCGCACATATATTGCTGCATCGCCTCAAAGCCCGCGCATCCCATCACTTGTCGCGTCCCCGGAGGCCGAGGTTAGCCCAGCCAGTCCCACGAGACAGGGACCATCCAACGATGTTGTTGGAGGAGCATTCGTAGGAGCAGTCCTCGGGTTTATGCTGCTGCTTCTTTTGATAAGATACTATCGTGTACGTGGTCGCGATGACGGCTCAGAGCACTTTGGCCCAACCTCTCCACCGAAAAACCCCCAGCCTACTGCTGGATCGCGACGATACGATTTCAAGCCGCCAACCTATCCAGAGCCTGTAGCAAGGCCGGTTGGACGTTCACGAAGGACCTCGATATACCATCCACAGGTCATGGGAACGCAGTTTAACGGCGAATCGGTGCTGGGCGTCCGACGAAACCCAAGACGTCGTCGTCCTTCAGACCATGGCCCAGCCGAGCCGGTCTCGATATCGAGTCTGAGTTCAAGCGAGGGGAGTAGAATGGTATACATTTCCCTGATTCTCAGCTCTTGCAGTGTCCACATGCTAAGCCACAATGCAGTCTCCAAGGCGCAGCGGGGGCGCCCGTATTATTGTGTTACAGCGTCGAGGCATGTGATCACCAGAATGTGGCGATATGATCGGGAAAGCCAGATCTAGAAATGTATATAGTCCTACACTATTGCATGTGCATCTCATGCGAGCACGTGTACAACCATGTCAGCCTTCCAGTATAATAACAGCCTAGGATAGATCCACCACCATTCGCAGATCGATCTTGGCTCCATAAGCAAGCCAAGCTGTGCATTCCACGTCATTCTGCATCTGCATGCGTGCTGCAGCTGAAAAGTAGTGTTCAGCCTTGCTCTCTGAGCTGCTTATTTATGCCTATCTTGCCTCTATCTCATGACTGACTGGCCAGAAGGCTGTAAAAGTAACAGTGAAGCACTTCCCCACAAGGGCAACCCGATGAAGAAAGAAAAACCAACCTACTTCCTCACTCCCCCTCGCCCCTGTACCCCAGGTGGCCCAATCCGTCTCGGCGCCATCATCCCCTCGCCCACTGAGCCCGATGAACCTCTGTACCTGCCGCCGCTCCCCGCGGAAACAAACACCAGTCAATACATTGAACACAACTGGAGCGGTTCCGACATCAAGTCCTCCTCCACCCACTTCGGTATATGGACCTCTTTCCTGCAAGTTGTCCTCGGCCTCAGCGCCGACGTCTCGATCGCCTCCAGCAAGGCACTCCACCGTACCTGGGCCGTCGACCGAATGACAACCCAAACCTTTGTGCCGAGCCGCGCGTTCCTGGAGCAAGCAGTGCAAAACGAAGACGTAAAAGCATACATTACCGACAACTTCTTGAGAGAACAAATCTACGTCATCACGGGCGTTATGATTGCTTCGTCGTCGACCATTTCGAGAACCCGCCTACGTGAACGCGGTATCTACGTCAAGACCGGCGTCGATGCAACTGCACTCGGCTTCCCTGTTTCAGGCGGTCCGGAGGTGGGACGCACGTGGGCGGCATCAACGACAGAATCGACGCATCGGCCCGAGGACTTTGTGTTTGCGTATAGGATTCGAGAAATCAAGGTCAGGCGGAAGGATGGAAGCGTGAAATCGCATAGATTGTATGACAAGGGCGCGTTGTTTGATACGCATGTGGAGAGGATGGAGGAGGATATGGGAGAGGTGGAGTTGGAGGGGTTGGGAGATGAGATGGATGAGGGGGAGGTTGAGGGAGAAGTTAGGCATGTGAGACAGGAGTTGGATGGGAGGGAGGAGGATGTTGTGTGTGTTCTACCTGAGCTGATTGATTGATGGGGTTGTGAGGTGGTGTGTGCGGAGGAATAAGGGGTGTGGTGGCAGCACTGAGACTGATTGTAGCCTTTCTCGCTTTTGCTAAGGCCATGTTGTGTATTTGTATAATACGTAGTAATTTGGCAGATTCGTAGTAGGTGAGTTGACCAAGTAGTTTGAACAAAGGACTTTTGCTTACAATTCCGACTTGGTTTCTTCTTTCAAATTTGCTGTTTAAGTAGCTATAAATAGTCATTGGTTTGTAAACAGTCACCAAAGTAGAAGCAACTTCAGCTACAGCTTGATGGTCTTATGTATATATAAAGTAGCAACTGCAATAGAAGCTATAGTAATAGCAGTGGTGGTGGGCAGCCTCTGTGGCGGTGGGCAGCCCCTGTGGTAGAGGCTACGAAAGTGGACTTGTGCGTAGATCGTGTAATACCCTTGCGCTAAGAGCTAATTAGTTCAGTGCTTGATTTAGCTAATAGCTGTTAATTTCTTTTAAACTTTTACACCGTATAGAGAACATGTAATGAAACTCACACTATAATCTGGAGCTGACGCTGCAATTAAATTTCGGATATGATCAGCGGCTATAGGTCGTTGAAATACGATCAAAGCAGAGGGTAAAGTCAGTTTAACCCGAGCCTGTACGACCCCTGCTCAAAGTCTCAATCTTTTGTCTTGTAATTCATATATTCCGCGTACGTACCAAATTTTATAGTTGTTGGCATGTACTATCACTGTACGTGGCACCATTTCTGTATCACAAAACTCATGTATAGAAATCTCACGTGGAACACAATTTAAACACGTATTTTTTCTTATTCTCATTTGTTGATTGTAATGTCAAAATAATATTCATCCAGAGCACGCTTCTCACACATTTACACCTAATTTTCTTTTGCGTCACTGTTCGACCAACCCGTTCCAACTGAATCGCACAGTAATTCCCGAGACGTTATATTGGCGAGTGAGTCTGACACGAAGAGCCTTAGTAATCTCCTTGGAATCAGACCGATGCAGGTCTTCCCTGCTAGGGATGATTGAGATATTGGATCATCAACAGATAAGAAACATCTTAATAGCTTCCGTCTACCAATATTAATTACCACTACGCAAGAACATACTGAAGATGGACTTTACTTACAAGCCATAAGGCCATAGTGTGTATCAGTATTCAACAGATACAATAGTATCTTCAGTTTAGGGAAGCGCTGACTGTTTCGGAGCGGGTACCCCATGTGGAAGATTACTTGCAGTAGCTCGCTTTGCAGCCCTTGTGGGAGTTGTAGGAGCAGCTACCACAGCTTGGACGCATAGGAGAGCCACAGTAACTTGAAGGAAGCTGTTGCTATTGAAATAAAACATCTTGTCTAGCGTAGTATGTAGTATCAAGAGAAAGAGAGAGAAACAAGTGAGGGTGTCGATTGGACTATGTGGGATGGTGAGCAACTTGAAGCCTCAATAATTGCTCCTTATATGCAGTAGAGACGGTCTTTTTCGTCAGCCGAGATACGAGTTGAGTATTTCCCTCTTCCCCGGAACTAGACTTCACATGGTGAGAATTGCTGATCAGAAGTTTCCACGTCCCCGAGGAGATTACAACGGACAAGGACCAAGCGTTTCGATACAGTTGCCTCCTGCTTATGCTCGTCACCATGTGTCTTTTTAGACATGGCTGCTATTAGCTTCCTGTGGCGCCTGTGTTCGCGCCGATATTTCTGGTTATGAGCACGCCGTTCCCTAAGTCCAGATATGGAAATTGATGAGAGATATGCTTGGATCTCCTAACGCCTCACTGGTCAGATTAGGTCAGCAGTCGTTCCGTATACGGCACGGGGCGGATGCTGATTAGGCTAGCATACTTGCAACGAGCGGGCGTATTTGCAAATACGTGAAAGATGAATAAACCCGTGTCGACTAGTGCGAATGCGTCTGCCAGGCACATAGGCTCTTGCTTTCGTGTTGCGCCTTTTCACACATGCGCCCTCTGCAAGCAACTTATCCAAACAGAAGTGGTAATGACGGTTCTTTTATTACATGATTTCCATTTATGAACTGTTAGCTGCTGCTGTATCCGTGTCAAAATAGTAAAATGGTAGCGTAGTTGCAACATTGCCAAATCACCTGAACAGGTGCAGAGTTAGAGGTATCTTCTTTTCCATGTGGCCTTCTAACACAACCTCAGTGATACTTGCTCCTTGGATTGCGACATAAAATTTCCTTCATTGGAACAGCAATGCGGTTGGCTAACATGAGTGTAGCCAAGGCGTGTCCTTGGGTTGCGAGACATGCCAAGTCGCGAGTCTCATGTAAGGTCACCCTCTCAACAGCCTCATATGCGACGTTGGTGGTGCACAGCTGATAGACAAACTAGCCGAAATCGGTCCTTTGCCCGTCTTTCATGGATCATGGGCTGAACCTTTAGGTTTGAGGCTACTTTGTATTCAGTGAATCAAGTCACGGCGTCTGTCTTGTGGAAATTTAATACTACATGGGCGGAGATTAGATCACCTTCTTCTTCTTATTATTATTATTATTATTCCATTAGAGTCTATCTGCAGTCAGTGACTATGTAAGAC